TCCCCCATACTTTTCAACATATACATAAAGCCACTGGGAGAGATAATCCAGAGATTCAGGCTGAGTTGCCATCTAAACTCTGTTATGTGCTTCCAACAGATCTCAGGAATGCTTTGGAAACCATGAACAAGTAACTGAACTGTAGGCTGTTTTGGAATGGATGATAGCTAACAAATTGAAACATAATCCCAGCAAAACTGAGTTGCTACTGGTGGGGAAAAGTTTTGACCTATGAAATGAGATTTCCTGTTCTGAATTGAGTTGATCTTCCCCTAAAAGAGCAGATTTATAGCTTAGGGGTTCTGCTGGACCCAGGCCTCATGTTTGATTAACAGGTAACAGACGTGACCAGGAGAACCTTTCACCAGCTTTGGTGACCTAGCTGCAGCCCTTCCTGGGACAGATCTTGCCACTATGGTGCATGCCCTTGTAACATCTAGTTTAGATTACTGCAGTTTGCTCTATGTGGGGCTACCCTTGAAGTCTGTTCAGAAGCTACAGTTGGTACAGAATGCTGCAACTGGAATGTTGACTGGAGTAGGTGGTAGGGACCATATCAGTCCAGTCTTATTCCATCTACACTGGATGCCAATTTGCTTCCGGACTCAAATCAAGGTGCTAGTATTGACCTTGAAAGCCACTCCAGTCATCTTTGGAGGTTCTGCTTCAGGTGCCCCACCATCTGAGGCTAGAGAGGTGGCAACCCAAGAAAAGTCCTTTTTGGTTGTGGCACCGAACTTTGGAACTCCCTTCCAAAGATATGTCAGTCTCCCTCTATCATTGTCTTCTGCCAGCGGGTGAATATTTTTCTGTTTTGTTTGTTATCTGCCCAGTAACTGTTACCGGTCCGCCTCCCTGGTTTTGGTGTTATGTTTTGTGTTTATATGTTTTTATTGAATTATTTTATATATTATTTTAAATGCTGTGTTTTAATGTTCGTGATGTTTGCTCCCTTGTGGACCAATTTGGGTGGAAAGGCAGCATAGAAATGTTTTAAATAAATAGAATGTTAATAGTAGAGATTTCTTTTTCTATTGAGGAAAAGGTCTCTTTAATGTTGCTACAAAATGTGACCAATAATATTAATTGAAAACTGATGACTATTATTTCTCTTTCTGAGTGCAGAAGCAAATTAAGCTAACTGATCAGAATCATGTTTGCAAACCTAAAAGCCAAGTTGTAGAATTAAAAAAATACCTATAGCGCAATATGTGCTCTGTTTGGGTAATTTAATTATGGCTAGTTATACATATCACTATAATTTCTTAATATGTAGTCTATGCACAGTAGAATAATTCTGCTAGAGTACTGACAATTTTATACAGTCTCAGCAAGGGGCTGTCAAAAGAGAGCCATTTTCATTGAATTTCATAGTATTCACTTGCCTGAAGGAAGAATATCAATGAGGAAGATACCAGCTTTCATTTTTAGTTATTCTGCTATATGGAGGGTTTTTGTTTTTTTTTTAAACACCTTTCTTATGAGGGCCAATATATAAAATTGGAAGTATCCAATTATAGGTTGTTTAAATGGTACCTTACATTATGAAACTCTTGACTTGTATGTAGGTAGTTACTTCATACATTATAGAAGATGGAGAAGAAGGGGAACCTGTGTAATGATGTGTAACTAGAACTGATTTGTGTATTTATATTTGCTTTTTGATTTAATCATGTATTTTGATGGTCCTTGCAACCTGTCATCTGTAAAATTTATTGTTAAGATTCTTCTGTTTTGCACATAGTTCACAAGAGATCATGGGAAAAGCCACAGGTAGGCACACAACCTGAAGGAGATATATGTAGAACAGAGTTGAATTATCATTACTTTGAATTTCTGTACTGAAATCTGCAGTGTGCCAAACAGCTAAGCAAATCCTATGAAAAAAGTGTTTCTCTGCTCTTCACTAATCCTAACTTGTACAGAACTAATGGTTTTAATTATTAGGAAAATGTGCACCTGTCAGGGAAGCTCCAGAGCCTTTGAAACAAAGAGGCTGTGCAGTCTCAGGGTTTGTCTGAGACACATCGTCCTCTAGACTGAGCTAACAGTCTGTGTTCCTTTCTTTATTCATTTTATGCATTTCCCTAAGATATATCTGGTGGAGGTGTGCATTGGACGTGTCTGAGCCTAAATTATACCCAAGATTAGTTGTTTTGAGTCAGCTCAGAGGTACCCCAAATGACCCAAAACACTCCTTGAAGTTCCAGGAGTAATGAAAATTTATCTCCCAGTGTTTGGGGGTTTTGAGGAGTCACAGCAGCAGCCCCATAGCCAGGAATTTGTGGGGGGGGGGGACCAGGGGGAGCCAATTAAATTAAAGTAAAATTAACAAATTGTGGGGGAATGCTGAACCCTGGAGGCTTTACCCCACCGATAAAAAGATGAGCTGAACCATCTGATAGGAAGCAGTCTGAGCCTTCAGAAATGGAAAAGCCTTCCCCTCCCCCCTCCCGTTACCCTCTCCTGTGTAGTTCCTGCAACTTGGAACTCTAGTCCTGTGCTTCCCGGTTTTGCCACAAGAAGTTCAAGCTATTACATTTTAAAACTTTGTAATACAAGCTCCCCATCAAAAACACCCAATGGCTGCATTTCTGTCTTCCAGGACTGAAAAGCTGATCCCCCCCCCCATAACTCACTTGTGACTAGACCTTCCCTAGATCCAGCCGCAAGGCTTTCACCCTTTTCTCTTTGGCAGTTTAAATAGAAAAGCATCCTCTCCCCAATCAGTGCTGCAGATGAAAGAGAAACACTTCCTCCCATCCTCTCCATGAGGGTAGGATGGATGACTGGGGTGGGGGCACTGCAGATACACTAGGGGGCACCACCCCATGCCCCCCACTGGCTACAGCCCTGCACAGCACTGGGTATGGAAAGAGAGAATGCTGGCCCAGGAAGCAGCTGTTAGGTCTGTTTCTTAATTTAAAGGAAAAGAGTTTATCACTAACAGTAGACCTGGTCTCCACACACAGCCCTTCAAATTTAAAAAGGGAAAGGAATGAACTAGCCTGGGCATCACCATGCTGGCATTGACCCTATTGAAGATTTTTTCCTGCTGCCAACTTCAGTGGTTGAAGAACCCAACCCCACAGCTGGAAGATGGCTGGCATGCTCCTGCACAAGGCTTGGCTGTCATGGTGGTGATTTCTTCCCACTACCAACAGAGGAATTATTTTATATTTTTAATTGGCAATAAAAATTGTGTTATAGCAGTATAATATTACAGTAATATGTTCTCAGAATTCCCAGATTTCTTTTTTAAGCAAGTTTCCAGCTGCTTCCATTGCTGAGATATAAAGGAAAAGGCATATTTCTGCAATGGAAGGAGCTAGAGATGTATTAGTGCATACTGGCGGTAACTACAGGCAGGGCTGGAGAGGGCTATTATCATTTTCATGGGTTAGGGGCAAATGAAAGCTTAAGAAAACCTTAAGGGACTCTGCCTAAGCATTAGCCCACCCATAGAATTTACCAAGCTAGATCAGTAAGCTCAGGGACTGTGTTAGTTTCCTGAATCCTTTTTTTTTTTTTTTTTTTTTAATATCCTTTGTGGTGTATGGAAGTCAAACTTTTCTGGGGGTGAGTAAAAGCAAACTGGAAAATTGACGTTCATTTCAGTGAGACAAAAGTGAAAATGAAACTTTAAAAGCTCAGCTCAATATAGAGCTATGGTTTATTGATCCAAGGAACATTTGTCGAGATTCATAAGAGCTCTTGTCCATTGTGGGAGATATGAAATCATGGCTCATAAATCGGAGCAGCTACCCTAAGGTGGCATATTTGTTATGTTAACGATCTATTAGCTGCTTCCCAACCTTTTCTTGACAAGGAAGAAGCATTTGTAAGTTAACCTCGTCAGGTAGCCTATTTCAATGATGAACTGACTTTACAGTTTTCTCTGTTAAGTTAGATATACCACCAGACATCAATTATTCTTTTTAAAACAAAAAAACAGTGAATGAAACAGTAAACACAGTGTTCTTTGTGACTACTTCTGTGATCCATCTCACAAGGTTTTATCAGTAACTAATAGTCTGGCATTTGGGTTTTGTTGTGTCTTGATTCATTCCAGAATTATGCCACAAAGTGCTGCTTTGTCAACACCAAATGCTGAGCTGTCAAGGGCCTGGATCTGTTGAACTTCTTTAAGCTTGTTGTTCCTCTAACAGCAGTCTTTCCCCTAAGCCTTATGGCAGCCTGCTTTGGCTACTGAGTAGTTCAAAAGAAGAAAAAGTGAGAAATTCAACTGAAGTTGTACAACAGATGCTTTGGGTCTTGGCCCAGGACAATTGGAAGACGGCATTTTCTGTGATTCACCCATACACATTAAAATTAATGGGCTTTTTGCTAGTGTTATGGATCACTGTTTAGAACTGTAATTTTAAGGCCATGAACTTTGTGGTCACCACTGCTTTTTATCATTTGCTCATATTTGTGTTATAATTATTTGGTGTTTATTCGTAGAGCCATTGCTGTGTAATGTGAAAAGTTTTTGCAGAGATATGCAAAGTTCTGGATTGTCAGTCTTAAAATTGTATTAGAGTAAATGTTTGCTTTTCTTTAATTGGGGAGAACTGGTGTGTGTGTGTTTTCTTGACTCAGATATGAAGAATCAGGTCTTTAAAATATGCTGTTGAAAAGAATGAGAAATCCAGAAGAGCATTTTATTCAACTCCCATTAAGTCAATACGATTTGCATAGAAAATACTTTTGTAGGTGATACTCATAGATAATGACTAAAAAGCAATTGCGGTTTTTCTTAATGAGAAGGTTTTATCCTTATGCTCATTTTTTTAGTATGTGAGTTAAATTAATAGATTTATTTTTAAACCCTTTTATAATGGTAAAAGGCTGCAAGTTTTATTTTATCCCTGGAAATAGTCTCTTAATATAGTAGAACTCTGGTCTTGACCTAATTGCAACAGAAAATTAGTTCTAATGGGAACATATTTTTAAAACTCCCCTTTTGATCCTTAATTTTGTGTTTTGTGTATTTGCAGTGCAGTTTCGAAGCTGTGAAGGAAGCAGAAAAGTCCATTTTGAAAGCAGTGCACCAGCAGATTTTAGAGTGGGTAAAGATGGTGTAGTATATGCAGCTAGAAGCTTTCAGCTTTCTCCAGAACCTACTAGATTCCTACTATATGCTAAAGACAAAGAAACGCAGGAACAGTGGGAAGTAGCAGTGAAACTAGTTCCTGACCCAGAAAATACAGAAAAGGTAAAACATCAGAAGCTGCCTTTGGAGTTATGTTGACAGATAGGTTTCATGCAAATACATTTTGTGTTCATGGGTAACTAAACAGATAAATAATTGTAACACACACTTGGGAAATAACTTTTCTTAATCCATTATATTACCTTAGAAATCAGGGTCTGTTCAAGCATTCCCAAGCACTGGAGCTTTGTGTTTGTGCATTTTTAAAAAGTTATATATTTATACCCAAATTGAAATTGGAAGTGGTCATTCTTTTATTTTAAACTCCTTGAAAGCATTGCAGTATTTATTCAAGCAGTTAAATATAACTACCAAATAAACAATTCTTTGCTTGGACCCATCAATCAAGTTTATTATATTGGAACTGCAGATTTACGGCAGAAGCAGGAAAGCATTTCTGGCAGGGAATATTGGCTGTGCTTTGGCGTTCCATAATCAAGTGGGGGTGTGTGTGCATGTGTGTAAATTATTCATGACACTAGTGCTGCTTTCAGGAAGGAGGGTCTCCCTCTTGTGGGAACTGTTATAAGTCAAGCTGTACAGAGAGATCAGTTAGACTTGCTTTCAGTATGACATTAACATGCATATCTTATGTTGCCTATTGTATTCCTATTAGTTATTTGCTCACCTTCCTTTTTTAAGATTGGTAGATGTAACCTCAATGAAATTAACAGTTACAGATGTAAGTCTTAAAAGCAGATCTGACTTATTCAACAAAGCCTGTAATCCTCCCATGCCATTAGATGAGAAAAACATATAATGAACTTAGATTCAGGTGGGTGGCAGTGTTGGTCTGAAGCAACAGAAGAAAGTTTAAGTCCAGTGGCACCTTTAAGAACAACAAAGTTTAATTATGGGTATAAGCTTTCATGTGCATGCACACTTCATCAGATGCACACAAAAGCCTATACCCAGAATTAAACTTTGTTTGTCTTAAAGCTGCCACTGGACTCAAACTTTGTTCTATATTTCTCCTTTAAATAAAGTAGCAACCCAGCCTGGTCTTAAAGATGCCACTGGACTCAAACTTTGTTCTGCTGCTTCAGACCAACACAGCTACCCCACCTGAATCTAAATGTTTTACGAGGTTGATGACACTCTCTGAGACCTTTAGTAATTTGCATGCACACACAGCTGGCTGGCTGTTAGTTCAGGATATCACTTGTTTTTGTTCCCATCCTGGATGATAAACATCAAAACAGGAGTATTTTTCAAGGACCTGGCAAGCTGCAGTATATAACTGGTGGGTTGTTTGGCTTGGTGGGGCACAAAATTATCTCAGTTCTTTGTTCTATAGTCTCATCTTACCAAAAGTATCCTAGCAAAGGAGCTTCTGCATCAGAAATAGTAGAGGGGCTGGATTACTAAAGAGACAGTGCTTAAGAAAACCATGCATGCTGTGACTCTTTAAAGCACTAATTTATATTCAGATCCTGTATATTCAGTGGGACTTGTTTCCCAGTAAATGCCAATAAATGAGCTTAGTAGTTGGAACTTAAGTATTTCTAGCTATTCTAATTAAGGTGCTTTTTGTGGAGTAGTCAGGATTACTTATGCATAATGGTCCAAACATCTGGCTGCCATGATGTTGAAAATGCCTTATTTCTTCCTGCAGCACATTTAACTGTGCTCTGTTGTTTCTAAAGGTTCAAAGAAAGATGGTTTAGCTTTGTTTTCTCTACATTCAGAAGCAACCTAGCATGTTTGCTTGCATACAAGCACCAGAAGCTAAAAGCCAGGATGCCTGCAGACATTGAGGAGAATTGTTGACACCCTATAGAGATTAATGTCCACTGTGCAAAGTGGGTCATCCACGGCATACATCATGGCTGACATAGGTTTAAAATAATTACAACATTAATTCTGTGGGATTTAATAGGGTCATAAATATTTGAGACATTCCTTACTACTATGTATTAAACTTCCCTGGAACTCAAATTATATTTTAGCACACCCAGATCCAAATTTAATGTACAGTAGCACATTACCTGAACTGTAGTTCCAACTAATGAGAAATATCTAAAGGTGTGCTATTAAATTCTGCATGGTATTAACTACTCTCCAGCTGGAATATGAAGAGTTGAAGGTAGTTTACACTGCACAGAGGTACAATAAATTGCTTATAGTACCATCTTCTTCCTGTTAAAGCCATGCTAGAAAACAAAGAGGTTGATAATATTTTACAGGGAAAACATGTTGCATAAAAAAAATATTTTGTGCCATGCTGTATAGCTGGTAAACAGCTTTCAGGGTCTGAAGTGTTTCTTTTGAGCACATGTTACAGCACCTAAATAATTTTTCATTGTGTGAACTGTTCATTATGTCAGTTTTTATCAGGTCTGGTTCTAATTTCCTCTTAATTTTAATATTTACAAAAGGAGCAAAAGAAAATGGATGATATTGTATTTCCAAGGCAGCAAAATAAGCACAGTGGTCATCTGCAAAGACAGAAGAGAGACTGGGTCATCCCTCCAATCAACTTGCCAGAAAACTCCAGAGGGCCCTTTCCTCAGGAATTAGTTAGGGTAAGGTAGAGAAAAGAGGCATGCAGTTTGAAAATGTATTTTGGATAAATTCTGGAATGGTTCTGTTCTCCAAAATCTCAAAACCAACATTTTGTTTGAATTAGTACCAAAAAACATGCTGCAGCAGCAAGTGGAAATAAAACATCAAGAAGTTATCGTAGAAGCCTTCTCTCCCCCCCCCTCCCCGAACAATAATGTTTTCCTTTGAAATGATAGTGGGAAAACATGCCTAAAACATCTAAATGCTACAATTACTGATAGTTCTGCATAGGAGGAGAGATAAGTATGTGAACAGCAAGAGATAGTAGAAGAGCAAAGAAGTAAAGATGGGAGAAGCTCTCAGTCCTCTGGAGAAATATCAGCTACCACTGCTTAATGCCCCTGAAGGGGGCAGGGGAGGCACTGGAGCTACTGTTACAGCATTGTACAGACAGTGGCTAGGAGCAGGGCCGGCCCGAGGTGTTTCTGCGCCCTAGGTGAGGCGCAGATTCCAACCTCCTGATGGGGCCTGGAGACTTCCCAGCTGGCCGCCCCCCTCCGCCCACTCGGCCTCGATGATCTTGCAGGTCACGATGGCCAGGGGCAGGGGCTGCAGGGGAAGTTCCGCTCGGCTCGGCTCTTGGGGGTTGCTTTGCAGGGCAGCTGAGCGGGGTGGGAGCCACTCTGAGCCGGAGCCCTTGGGACTTGGGGCTGCAGGGCGGCTGTGGCACGGGCAGAGAAGTGCCAGAACTACCAGATGCAGCTGCGCTGCATTCCTGCAGCTGGGCTGGGGGGGGAGGAGGGAGGCCGCCGGGGCGGGGAGGCTGAGAGCAAGAGGCAGGGAGGGGGGGTGTGCACACGCGCCTGTGCCTGCCTGGCCGGCCCCACAATCCGGAGTGAAGCCCGTGCGCAGCAGATGCGGAGGAGCGCTAGGGGAGGCCAAGTCCCAAGCCTCTGGACGGAGAGAGAAAGCCAGCGCTGCCGGCTGCCACTCTCCACTCTAGCCCTCCCCTTGCTTTTCCGCCCGCTCTCCCTTCCTTCCCTGCTTCCGTGCGAGAGAGAGAGACAAGAGTGGGACTGTGGGAGGGAAGGAGACCGTGAGCGGGGCAGAGCAGGAGCGCCCCTCTTTTTGTCCTTTTCTCCGCCTGTCACGCTCCAGCTCGCCTTTGGCTTCCCGAGGCGGCGGCTGAGAACGAGGCTGCTTGAAAGTCCTGTCAGAGCTCCTCTCCCTGCCTGCCATTCTGCTCGCCCTCTTTTTGGCTCCGCTGCTGCTGTGTCCCTCTGTGTCCTTTTGGCAGGGGATGGGGGGCTTTGGCGGGGGGCACCGAGTCCTGTTTGGCTCCCCTAAGGGCTGGCCCGCACTCTAGGCGAATGCCTAGTTTGCCTAGCGGGTGAGCCGGCCCTGACTAGGAGTGTCCTGCATAGGTGACCATGCTCTGTACTGGGCTCCATTAGCTACTCAGCAGCCTTGCCCTACACAGGGCTGTGATAGCTGGTAGTTCATCTGCAAAGTGCCATGCAAGTCACCCCAAGTATACATAATGAAAAAGCACGTTTTCTTTTGTCCAGCTCTTAACACTTGGTTTCACAAACTGAACAACTTTCATATTTAAGTAATCTGAATTGCTCTGTTGAAAGTGTGAGATGGCATCAGAATGCATTATTTAAGTTGGATCATTGTCACTGATCACTGATCACTAAACCTGTTGACAAAAGTCTTAATTTTAATTTGCTTACAGAATCAAATAATATCAAAGTCTAAAACCTATGAAAGTCACAGCCAAATTGTTGGAAACTTAGTTAATTACTTTTTAAGTCTTCATGATTTCAGATTAAAGCTTGAAAAACTGAATACAACAGAAGCTAATTTTCCATTTACCAAAAGTCAAATGTACTAGAGCATCTGTGCATCTACAGCTGTAGCAGGGAACGGATAGCTTCCCCCCCCCCCCCAGGCTCTTGCATGGACCTTTAAAATATATTTTAATTATTAGAACCAACTCTGTCCTACTTGCAGAATAGGAGTGAACTGCAGCCACAATCCTCAAGTCAGTACACATGGCATGTTGCTTAAACCAGTACTTTGGATTGGCTTTCAGAAACCCAAAGACCTGAGATATGTGCTTTTATTGTATTGCTTATGGACTTCATGCACCAACTAGAGATTATGTTGTTTTGAAATCAACATGCGTTTCAGATACCGCCTCATGAAGCTTCATCATGCAGCATCTTTTTTCTTACTATCCATTTTAGAATAAAATGTACATTGTTGGCTGGTAAGTGTTTCAAAATCACTTTCTTCTTTACTTGTCAACCAAGGTCTAATTTGAGAATTCTGTTTTCTGTGCAGCACTTGATAAGATTGCGAGCACCTCCACGGTTGCAGTATCATCAAGTATTTTCAGAGAAATGCAGAATCATTTACTTGGTTCTGGGGGGAAAGTAAGGAAGAAAGTGTTTTTCTCATGTGATTTTGAAATACGTTTTCTCTACACATGTTCCATTTATTACCTCAAACATGCATATAAAGCTGTTAAGGATGAAGATACTGTTTTTAATAACACAGAACATCCTGTCCTGGAACTCCAGAGATATTCTAAGAAAAGCCCTGTTTTTTTCAGTTTCCAAGGCCAAATTAGCTCCCTTCTTGCAAAAATACAATAGAAGGGGAAAAGACATTATTTTTTTTAACTTTTTTCTAACGTATACTTTTCATGTGCTTTGGATTTGATGAAAATATAATCACTTGTCATAAGAAGATAGCAGATATGGTTGGAGTCATCTTTTGTGAGATAAACTGAGAAAAATAAAGCACCTTTAAAATTTATTTTAATCCTAGGGAGAAATTTGGGATTTTTGTAGCTGTGCATTGAAATGGTTTGTTTCTTGAATTCAGAATATCTGCAGACTAACTAGCCACATATAACCATTCTCTTCATGTCAGAGGTCTCATTCATATGCTCAGCTTTTTTTTAAAAAAATTGTAACACAGGTGGTAAATCACCTGTCTGGTATGCAGTACTTCAAGCACTATAGTAGTTATTAGGACCAGTAATAAGAGCTGTGGTTCATAGGATAGTAGTTATGTGGCTAGAGGTGTTCTAATATGTACATTGCAAGGGCTCACTTCCCCTAGAAAATGATGGGAAGGAGCTAGGGCAAGGATCAAGCTTGGCAGTTAGGTGAATGTAATAAGTACCTAGGGAGAAGGGGTGGGATCTGGCTCTCCATCTGACAGTTTCAATAACAAGATGTCATGGTGAAATGAACGTCTTCCCTCTGCTCACCATGCATCTGGAGATTAGTCATGCTGACTTGAAATACTGGAAGTCCAGGCTTTGTCTTCCTCAACATACTCCAAAATGCCTTCAATGTAGCCTGCTTCTGAAGGATATTTTTTGGGGTGGGTGGGATGGATATTCACACCAATATTCTAAGACACATGGAAAGGAAACATTTCAGGAGTTCAGCAACAACTCCACGAGCCATAGCAGAAAACACCCATTTTCATCCAGTCATACCACTATGAGATGCCATGTTACCAACAACATGCTAAACATTTCTTTGTTTCAGGATGATTGCGTGAGGTAGGATTCAGCCACCAGTGCAGCTGCACTGTTTCTCAGAGATCAGGTGATTACAAATAACCCAAAAAAGGTTTTGTTAGAGAATTCTTGGGTTGTAAAAAATTGTACCTGAAAACAAGGGAGCTGCCTCCCTAGTTAAAGTCAAAAAAGCTGTGGGCTTGGATGGTATTATTTGATAAATCCACATTAGTCGTTCTACTGATCTTAAATGACAGCCCCACCTTTTCATTATAGAACAGGCTCAAGTACAGTTCTTTTTTTAACAAGGAGTTAGTAACTTGAACTGACTTTTGCAATAGTAATTAGACTAGATTTTTACTAGATTTTTTGTTGTGTAAAAAGCAGCAAGGTTGCATTTTTTAGAAGCCAGCACTTGTGATTACTCATGTGTTTAACAAAACCCTCATCTTCTTGGCACATAGATCAGATCTGATCGTGATAAAAGCCTTTCCCTGCGCTATAGTGTTACTGGGCCAGGAGCTGATCAGCCCCCAACGGGTATCTTCATCATCAACCCCATCACAGGTCAACTGTCGGTGACAAAACCATTAGATCGGGAACAAATAGCTTCTTTCCACGTAAGTTGTGAACTCTGAACTAGATTTTTAAATCAAAGTTCTTGACATCTGCTTTGAATTTGGATGGCACATCTGGCACAGTTTTCTCAGTTTTAGATGTAAAGTGTTTGTACGGGATCTTTATTTCTAGACGTCGTTCCTTTTCATATAAAATAACAGGAGTTCCTGGTAACTTGAATTTTACTGGAAGAATCAGATAAAATAGAAGAAATAATTATGCCTATTTTGTATTTTCAGTTTCTCACTGTTACAAACTTTAAAAGTTGGCAAAAGTTAGTAATAATATATGTTTAATAAAATATATAACATGCAGTCGAGTTGCAACCGCTTCATGGAAACCCCTTCCATGGACGTTCCAGGCATGAGAAGAGCGGAGCAATTTTGCCACTGCCTTCCTCTGCATAGCAAGCTCAGTCTTCCTTGGTGGTTTCCCATCCAAATTCTGACTGGCCAACCCTGCTGAGCTCCCGAGCTCAGACATTCCTGGGCAAAGTTGAACTATTCGGGCTACTACTTTTTTTAACGTAATAGCCTTATCTAAATTTAAAATTGTGACAGTTATAATTTAAAACAGAGAAAATTGGAATTATTTTGACATTCAGTTGGAGCAATTCTTAAATCTTTTGAGGGCATTACAGCTATAAAATACAGTCATAACGTATTGGAGAATGAGATAAATATAGTGTAGGGGGCGAAAGCAAAAAAACTTGCATGTATGAATGTGCACATAGTTAATATTAAGTGAGTGCAAAATTTATTGTTTGATGTTGAGAAAGTTTGTTCTAAAGCAAAACCTTGTTTTACTACCTTTGGGCATTGTGGGGGTTTAGTTCTTAGAGGGCTGTGTGGTTTATTCCTTCAGTTTGCTTATTTTTTTAAAGCTTCAAGTGTGCTGAAGTGACCCAAGACATGGTAAAAAAGCAAATGCTGAAATAAATCAAGTTAATGGAGTTCCATTTAAAATGTCCTGTCAGCAACACTAATTACCGTGCTGATGACATGTTTTGCAAGTTTTCTCAATTCTTAATGACTTTTGCAGCTGAGGGCACACGCCGTGGATGTAAATGGAAACCAGGTGGAAAATCCCATTGACATTGTTATTAATGTCATTGATATGAATGACAATAGACCAGAGTTCTTACACCAGGTTTGGAATGGGACAGTCCCTGAAGGATCAAAGCCAGGTAAAATACTGGGACATTTTCAGTTATTTGGTATTTTATTTTTAGCAATAAGATGGTAACTGTGGTTTTCCTTGGCATCTCCCACTGAAAATACGAGACAACAATATTGGGTTTAATTAGTTTATTCAGTTAATGAATTAATTATGCAAATCTAGATCATAGCATTAAATATGCTAGCATATTTAAATGGACAGGCTGTGCTAGGCAGCCTGGCAATGTTAGCCTTTGATGGGCAGACCCACCCTGACTCCAGACTTGCCCTGCATCTTCCACTGGTCTCGTTTATTATCACCTGCACACAATGTGCCGAGAGGTGCCCAGCACCATCCCCTTCCCTTGATGTGTCGTGCAACCACTACCAGGTTCAGAAAGATGTTGCTCAGCACTAAGAACACTCCTCCCCACCCACTCCTCACTGCACTGGACAGTGATGCACTGTTTCAAACCCCCCACCCTTCATTGCTGCTGATGCCTCAGGGTGCTTGCCGATCATCCCTACCTGTTGTGATCAGCCCGCCCTATCCCTGCCAAACTAGTTATGGCCTAAACAGTCCACAGGCCAAGCCTATTTAAACCCTCTTACCCCAGCGTCAAGAAGCAGTCGAAAAAAGGCCACCTCGAAAGCCAAACAGAGGAGCCTCCCAAAATTCCTGCTAGGCCCAAAAGGCAACTGACTAATCCCATGATGCTAAAGGGAGGGAGGGTGGGTGAAAAGCCTGCATGGTGGAGGCGTGGTCAGAATATATGAGGCCAAATCACTCCTCCTGATTAGCTGCTTCAGCAATCTAATAACATTTTGTCCCTTTCTTGTCTCTAGGGGGCCAAACCAAACCGATCCCTAACATTGCCATGAATCCCACCACTGTTAAGGTTTTTGCTGCAGTCTTCCCCATGAAATAAGACCACTCCACATCAGGCGCTTTACTGGAGAAGGAGTGCTTTACAGAGCAATCCTGAGCCATGCCCATGCTGCAGCAGCCAGCAGTAGCACAGGGGTGGCGGTGCTAGTCAGATTCCTAAGGGGCAAGTTACACTTCAGCACAGCGAGGGGGAAGTGTAGCTGGCTGCTTGTGAGGGCACGCCCATGGCAATTCCGCCACAGCATGGCCTTGTGGTGTAGTGTCAAGGTGGGGGCAGGACGAGGGGTGGAGGACTTTGGGTCAACGGGAGCAGCCAATCCCAGGGGCAGATGCCATTGCATGCCACAGCTAGGGGGCAGGGAAGGGCGGCTCAGGAGAGTCCCATTCTCTGCCCCTACCCTGCTCCCCTGACAGAGACCCACGGTGATGACAGGCATGTGGTCACCGTCATTTGTTGTTCCTGCATGCTGCCATGGTGAGGACCCCCAAATCTTACCCTCCTGAATATTTGGAGCCCTCCTGCTGCAGTGGCTCTCCCCCCACCATTGGCTCAGTGAACCCCTGTGATTCCCCTGTCTCCTCAGTGCTACTTGCACAGATGCCTGCCCCCACCCATGGGTGCCAGAGGACCCCCCTTCTAGAGCAGACACACATTTAGGGGCCTCATCCATTTGCTCATTTTCTTAATGACCCTTCCCCCCCCCCCAGTGGCTTGCATCATTTCCCTCCGTTTCATGCACACAACAACCCCATGAGGTTGTTCAGGCTGAGAGTGCATATCTTTGTCAAGGTCACCCACCTAGATTCCATGGTACAAGGGGGGAATGGAATCTGGGTCTCCCAGGTCCAGCCTCACACTCTCACTGCCGTGATAGGCCAGCTTATTCACCCAGACCATCCTCTGGCCCCTCCCCCCTTTATACAGAAGCCTGAGCAAGGGAACCTGTCTGTGTGCCTGGGTCCTTGCTATGTATGGCCAGTGGGACCTGCGCAACCCTCTCGTCCACCCACAGCACCTGAGAGCCCTCCCTCTGAGACATGTCCCCAGGAAGCCCATGGGAGAGTGGCGGGGTCGGGAAGAAGTGGGGTAAGGAGGGGTATGGAGCTCCAGTCGTGTAATAGAAACCAAGCAGCAAAGACACAGATGTGGCACAACATAGGCTTTATTGCACTGGAATCCATGGCAAGGGGTGAGGACTCCGTCCACTTTCACTCCAGGGACTGAGGATCCCCGGCATGGCATGCGCCTAAGTGGAATGGCATTGCAGGTGGAACTTTGAAGGGCTTGCTGGGCGCAGTGCTTCCCTTCAAGAGGAGGGATGGAAAAGTGGACTGAGCAGAGGGGGGGGGAGCGGGACTTGCCACACCCACAAGTCCCTCTCTTAAATCTCCACCTGCAATACAGAAAAATAGAGTCATGGCAACCGGGCACAAGTGCCAGGCCACCCTCAGCTATGGATGTCTTATCCTGACAGGGTCTGCAAATGCAGGTCTGGGGGGGGGGGGCTTGCCATGAACCCCCCTTCAGGCGCATGATGGAACCAGCCAACTCACACCTGTCCTGTGTTGAAGTGCTCCCGAATTGCTTGCAGTCCATCCACCACAGCAGCTGATTCTGCAAGGAAATTAGTTGAAGGGACACTTGCCAAGCTGGTTCACATACAGTGGAGCAGCTGCCATACCCACCTCCCAACCACAGACACGTCCTATGCTCTGCCGAGGGTAGGAACCGGGTAAATGGCAGAGCATTCTTCCCCTCCCCAGATCTGGAAAACTTCCCAGGGAACTTTTCCCATGTGCCACCCCACACCTGAACTCAATGCTGGACTTGAGTGCAGGAGACACTTTCATGGCACCCAGCCTTAAGCAGGGGGGGGGGCAGGTTTGGGATCCTTGCCCTTGCTTACCTGACAATGTCTGGTTGCCCCTGTGGGTCAAGCCTCCAACAGTGGGGTATCTGTAAAGGGTTATGAAATGGAAGAGGTCAGTCACAGAGTACAGATTTTGCTCACCTCCTTGGGTGCCAGCACCAAGTGCTTGCCCTGTAGTGCAAAGTGTCCTCTCTGTACTTCTGCCATCACCAAAGTGCCTCACCACTTTCTCGAAGTCCACATGGCAGGGAGCTCCAACACAGACTTCTATGCCACATGCTCTAATTACTGAGTTGTAAGAGGTCCCAGCGGAAGTATTTGTAGGAGGGGGGAGGCCCAATTAGGTGCTGGGGAGGGGGCTTGGCCACCGTGGCAAGGGAGATGATTGGCTGACCCTGTAGTTGGCATCCTGAGCTCCTCCGAGCCTAATGGGCGAGGCTGCAGCAGCAGGGTAGGACTTGGTTTTCAAGTGCAATGTATGGTCTACGCCATGTTTTGTGTTGGCATGACTTTTCACCTCTGGGCCTTCCCAGGCTGAAAGAGCTCAGGGAGCTGACTCGGCAGGGAGGATGGGGTAAAAATCAAATAAATAAATAATTCTGACTTACAACCATACCAGCACAGGGGCCTATGCATCAGCTGCGCTGCTGGGGCCCGCCGCTGGCGCCCACAAGCAACAGAGCCCCACTGGGGGCCTGCACTATTGTAAGTGGCCTTTACATAGGCATATCTCGGACATATGCCGACACACAGGTCAGTTGGCTCCCTGTTCTTATACTTTCACACACACCCTTAGGATTGCTCTGCTTGTCAAGGAGAGGTAGTAGCTATTGTATATGTAGTGTTTCATGGAAAAAATCTGAGCTTCTCTGTCTAGTTGAGTATAGATGCTGATATACCAGCTCTAAGTAGGGAGTTGTATTTGGGGGGCTGAAGTGCTACTCCTGTATTAAATTTACAGAAGTAGAAGCAGCCTCACACCTCATTACCTTGTGATGATATCATCGTGCTCAGTAAATCATAACTTGCTGTTGAACTGTGGTCTGGTAAGCCACACCTCTGAGTAGATAATCAGAGGAATAGCCAAACTAAGCAGACACTCCTTAATGAGTGATAATAATGTAGCAAATTTAAGATTATTCAAGGTATGTTATACATATCATCCTCGCAACAGCTTTCCAAGTGAATACTACCTTAGGGACAGTATTATTATCTCTATATTGCAGATTATTACCTTGCATACTGGATTTTATTCTCTATTTTCTTTAGTAGAACCACTTCAGTATGTGTAACCAAAACAGCCCCTCACACACACACTAATTCCCTAAACTCCAGTTTATATAGCCATTTAAAATAAATTTCCTGAAAGCATATTTTTAACATGTTCAACATTTTAAAAGGGGCTTTTAAATATAGGCTTACATTTCTAAACCATTATTTTCAAAAATAATAATCTTGATTTATTTGGAAATACACATACACACTCCAAATCAGAGCCAAAAAGTTTTCTTTAAAATCCTAAATCTTCCTGTGTAGAAGGTATGTTAGCCTGATAGGTTTCCTTTCCAGTCATCCTCAGTCTTTCAGATATGTGTCTACATGTACAAAACGAAGCCATGTCCTCTCTTAATTTCCCATTGTAACCTTGTGACATGGCCTTTCAGTCTCTTGAAAAACATAATGTACCACTATCAAATTCCAATAGCTGTCATTACTGTAAAAGTCAACTTTGTAAAGGGAATTATATAGCAACTAAAAATACTGTTTATTTCTGCTAGCTTCTGTTGAACTGGCAAGCATTTTTTACCACAAAATCAACATGTACCCCCTTTGCTTATGCACAATGATACTCATCTGAGCTGAGTCAGGAATACAGTTATCTAAATGTGAGAGTTTACACATTCATTAAAATCGTTATGTAGTGGAATAGCATCATTGCCAGGAGAATGCTTTAACCAATAAGTGAGTTCGGGTATTTTATAAACACAGTTGTTTTTATCTTCTGGGGCCCAATCTCATTAGTTGTGGGCCTTGGTATAGTGTGAGTTTTAAAACAAGAGAAAGAATGTGAAGTGTTTAGTCAGAGGAAGTAAATGTTTGGAGCTTCTGTGTGACCTTGTACAAACTAAGTCAACTGTTTATTTAACCCTGAAGATTATTTTATTTTGTCCTTAGGAACCTATGTAATGACTGTCACTGCTATTGATGCTGATGACCCAAATGTATTGAATGGAATGCTGAGATACAGAATCTTGTCCCAGGCCCCAAGCACCCCCTCTCCAAATATGTTTACAATCAACAATGAAACAGGCGATATTATTACAGTTGCTGCTGGGCTTGACAGAGAGGTAAGGCGGGTCTTGTGTTGCAAAGTTTTACATATGGGCCTAATATTCCTGGCTAACAATATGACATGCCCTTATGGATGCTTTAGCAGGTGATGCTAAAGTTGTTACTACTGTATAGCATGCCAGAGTTAAGGCCACTTGGGTATTCCAGAATCATTTTCAGCTCGAAGCCTTGCTGTGTTCCCTTTCATATGACCCTGCTGAGAGCTTTTGGAGAAATGATAGATTACTATTTTTTTCACATTTTATTAACCTCATTTCAGGTTATTAAATCTGAAAGCTGTTTATTATTAACAAATGTGCTTAATCGGTTTGTTTGCTCACCTTAATTTTATTCATGAAAGAATTTTTTTAAATGGTTCTTATTTACTTCATTTATGGAATGTGTAGCCCTCAGATTTTCTTTGCTTGATGTGGCTTGAGAAAGAATATTAACAAAGCCAGCATCAACCCCAGATTTCCCCACTGTGCTGTATAGATCTTCTTCGTGGTCTCTGTGCATCACACCTATGGGATTATGCGCCTGTGCTGATCCGAATCGGTGGTATGCAAAGCTCACAAAGGGATTTTCACGCCTCCCTCCCAGGCATGCACGGGAACCCCACTGCGCATGCCCAAGGAGACGGGGCGCGGACATCCCGCCAGTTCTCTTCTGACCGCCGCACTGTTAACAGCTTGTTTTCTGCCGGTTGGTGAAGAAGCGTTCTTTTCCTCTCACGAGAGATTATCCAAATCGTTCTTCTTTTTCCTTTACTACGTTTATTTCGTTCTTTACCAAAAAATACTTTTTCTGAGGGCCACCAGCCCTCAGGCGGTTTCCTGCCTCCCCCCCCCCCCCCCGGGGAAACCCCCGAGGTAAAATTTACTTCGCCTCATATGAGAGCCCTCTTTTCTTTTCGGGGCCATTTTTGCTGTTTTATGGCCGAAAAGTGAGGGTGTTTTAAATTGTGTGTTGACGGTGGCAGCAAACTTGCCCCCTATGACAACCACACACTCTGCATTCTCTGCCTAGGAGAAACGCATCGCCCAGACGCTTGCCGCCATTGCACAAAGTTCTCGAATGAGACCCGCAAAAACAGAGCTGCAAGGCTTCGAGTGGCACTTTGGGAGTCCGCACTGACCCCCCTGCCTGCCAGAAAGATGTTGGCTGAGACCCCTTCTGACCAACCGACAACACTCCTGTCGACATTGGGAGGTGCACCGGCATCGACCCCCGTTCACCGTGCAAAGTTGGCATCAGATGGGGAGCCATCTTCTAAGCACTCGGCATCAAACAAGGCCTCTTCCACCTCTACGCCGGCTAAAAAGAAGAAAAAAGAGAAGCACTTGAAAGCTAAGTCTTCTTTTACTGGTACTGTGCGTAAGTCTCAGAGTCTGAGCGGCGAGAAAGTACAAAAGGGCTCTGCAATTACTCCTCTTCAGCGGTCGCAACCCGACATCAAGGACTCCTCCATACCAGAGCTGCTTATGATTGAGTTACTGGACTCACTCATTGGGCAACTGAACCCCCCAGTATTGGAGGTCCTCGTCTATACCGGACTGATCTCGGCCTCGCCATGGGATGTCGATGACATTGTCCCACGTAGGCCCCGTACAGAACACTCTTCTTTGGCTGTTTCTTAGGCAAGCGATCGATCTTGGCCGGACTCTCGATATTGACAATCCAGATCGCCCAGACGCGAGGGACATCGATATCAATCTGAAGAGTGCCTTGGGTACTGTCATTCCATACCCATGCTCTCGTACACGCCCAGACAGGAATTGAGACCACATTCCCCGACCTATTTCGACCCACCTGGAGCCGTAATGAAACCAAGAGCGAGGACAAAAGGGTTTAAAGGGGGCAGCCTTTAAACCCTTTTGTCCTCGCTCTTGGTTTCATTACGGCTCCAGGCGTCAATACAGTAAACTGTCGCTTGACGAAGGCTACAGACCACGTCGGTCTCCGTCTGCAAACAGGCAGCAGTACCAGACCAGGCAAAGATATGGTTCTGGACAGCAACTTGTCAGACCTAAACAACCTAAACCCGGCAAGCAGGGCCTTTGACTTCCACCTGTCTACCTCTTCCTGCCCTACCCGCCTCCATCCGTATCTGCAGGCCTGGGCCACCATTATATCGGACCGATGGGTCCTTTCCATCTTAGCCAACGTCTATTCCATCGAATTCATGGAACTCCCACCTCTTCCTGTTGTCATCACCACTCCCCCATCGTCATTCCTCCTCGAAGAGGTCGCCACACTTCTGTCGAAAGGTGCTATGGAACCCGTGCCTCTAGATCAACAGGGACTCGGTTTTTATTCCTGGTACTTCATAGTGCCCAAGAGGGACGGTGGGCAGAAGCCGATCTTAGACCTCCGTGGCCTCAATGCCTATATACAATACCGGAAATTCAAAATGACACCCCTACCAGTCATTCTGCCTCTCCTGTCCCAAGGATGCTGGGTGGCCACCCTCGACCTCGAGGATGCCTATTTCTACTTAGCTATCCACCCCTCCCATCAAAAATACCTCCAGTTTGCGATAGGAGGCAATCACTACCAATACAGGAGTCTGCGGTTTGGCCTCAGCACGGCCCCATGGGTCTGCACCAAGACGATGATGGTCGTTGTGGCACATCTCCGCCTCTGTGGCCTGACAGTGTTCCCGTATCTAGATGACTGGCTTCTGGTCGCACCTTCCAGGGATCTTCTTGTTCACCATATATCCCAGGCCCTCAATATCCTTCCTTGCCTCGGTCTCCAGGTCAACCACAAAAAGTCACAGCTGGTTCCTTCTCAAAGAGTGCAGTTCATAGGGGCGATACTGAACTCCAGAGAAGGCAGAGCTTTCCTGCCTCAGGATGGGGCCCTAACCCTGAATGCTCTTGTGGAACAAGTTCGGCTCCAGGACACATCATCTGCTTTCCAGATTCAACGCCTTCTGGACCTGATGGCAGCTACAACTGCTGTCCTCCGTTTTACGAGGCTGCGAATGCGTCTACTCCAGCTGTGGTTCATACGGCACTTCAAGCCTCTACAGATGTCCCAGTCACTTCGTCTCTCTCCGCCAGAGAAGGCACGCGACTCCCTTCTCTGGTGGACACGGTCAGACAACCTGATGCAGGGTGTCCCTTTCCATCCCCATGCTCCTGGTCTCACCCTTACGACCGATGCCTCGCTGTGGATCTGGGGAGCCCACCTCAACGGCCTCTCCGTAGGTCACAAGTGGGATTCCATGACCTCAAGAAAACACATCAATTTTCTGGAACTTTTGGCAATCAAACTAGCCCTCCAATGTTTCCAGCCTCTTCTCACGGGAAAATGCATGACTGTATTTACCAACAATATGACGGCCCTCAGTTATGTCAACAGGCAGGGTGGAACGGTCTCCCACAGTCTCTGCCTCCTGGTTCTCGACCTTTGGGCCTGGTGCATACCACTGCACATCTTTCCCATTGCCTCACACATCGCTGGCAAGGCCAGTGTGCATGTGGACCTTCTCAGCAGGGGTCTCTCTCAGCGTCACGACTGGGAGCTGAACTGAACCTACCTACGTCCCGTGTTTCAAAACTGGGGTACACCTCACGTCGATGTCTTCGCCCCCAGGTGCAATTCAAAGTGCAACCTGTTCTGCTGCAGGGGAGCACAAGATCCCAAGGCCTTTGGAGACAGGCTCCTTTACCCATGGGACAACAACTTCCTGTATATGTTTTCCCCCTCTGCTGCTGAGGATGGTCCAAAGACTCATGGGGGTCCACATGAGATGCATCCTGATCGCCCCCTGGTGGCCGAGGCAACCTTGGTTCGCCAACCTCTTCTCACTGACCAAGGCTCACCATACTCTCCCACAGGTGCCAGATCTGCTCCTCGCGGAGGGAGGAGCTCTGCTGTTCCACGAGGTACACAAACTCAAGCTAACAGCTTATCTCGTGGACAATTAACATTCTCAGATAGAATCACCACTGTGCTACTCAATGCCAGGCAGGATTCTACAAGACGTTCCTACAGGGGAAAGTGGGCTCATTTCTTAGCTTCCGTACAGCCCTCGGGCGTGCCCCCGGCTTCTGTCAGGATTGACCAGGTCTTAGAATTTCTGCTTTCGCTGGCAGAGAAGGGCCTCTCGCACTCCTCAATCAGGGTGTATTTGTCGGTTATTTCTGCCTATCATCCGGGCTTCAACGGTTTCTCCGTTTTTTCTCACCCGGTCTCAAAGACGTTTCTTAAGGATCTCCTCCACCTATATCCACCGATCCATTCACCGGTACCCTTGTGGGACTTGCCGATGGCACTACGCCATCTGATGGGACGGCCTTTTGAACCTATGACAACTTGTGAGCTAAAGCATGCAGCATGGAAAACTGCCTTTCTCATTGCCATTACCTCAGCCAGGAGGGTGGGCGAACTCGTGGCCCTTCGTCATGACCCACCCTTTCTTACCTTCCTACTGGATGGTGTGAGACTGGTGCCCGACTTCTTGTTCCTGCCTAAAGTGGTCTCCGAGTTCTACCACAGCTCAGAGATCTTCTTGCGAAACTTCTTTCCTAACCCGAAAGATGGACAACAGCATCTCCTCCATGCACTAGATGTTAGGAGGGCGCTACTTTTTTATCTGGACAGAACAAGTTCAAGTAGGAGGGACAATCACTTTTTTGTCTCCTACTCCAGTCACTCCACAAGACAAAAGATCTCGGCACAACGTCTCTCCAAATGGATTGTGGAGACTATTAAGCTGTGCTACCAGTTGGCTAAACGCCCGTTGCCTTTGCCTGTGCGAGCGCACTCCACAAGATCCATGGCTACATCTACAGCCTTCTTGAAGGGTACTTCCCTATCGGTGATCTGTGGGGCTGTGACATGGTCTATTCCGAACACCTTCATCAAGCACTATGCTGTTGATGTTCGTGAATGCCACAGAGTGGACCTTGGTCACTTAGTCCTTTTGTCAGCAGAGCATTGAATTTGCGACAGCTCCCATCTCCAGGTGAGCCACTGCTTTTCAATCTCCCATAGGTGTGATGCACAGAGACCACGAAGAAGATAAACAGGTTGCTTACCTGTAACTGATGATCTTCGAGTGGTCATCTGTGCAGTCACACCACCCGCCCATCCTTCCCCACTGCTGTCGCTTCAGTACTTTTCTCCGGTTATTGACATGACAGCGCCGTGGTCAGAAGGAACTGTGGCGGGATGTCCATGCCCTGCCTCCTTGGGCATGCGCAGTGGGGTTCCCGCACATGCCTGGGAGGGAGGCGCGAAAATCCCTTTGTGAGCTTTGCATACCACAATTTGGATCAGCGCAAGCGCATAATCCCATAGGTGTGACTGCACAAATGACCACTCGAAGATCATCAGTTACAGGTAAGCAACCTGTTTTTGACTACGCTAGGTGTGGAAACAACAAAGAGTATGTTGTGTTTTTATGCTGTCTCTGACAGGTTGGAGATTATATATACATATAAAATGAGATACCACTGACTTGCAATACAGCATATCTCACACAATAGTTTGGGTTGAGTGCAGGACTGGGTCCAGTGGAAAGAACAGGCGGAGAGCGAAGCAAGAAAAATCAGCCGTACTTGTATCACAGTATAGGCATAGCCTAAAGTCTTCTTTACCAGAGAAATCCCACTCACCCCTGCAAATAATTTTTGAGTCCCACTGCTATTTCTAAGACACTGACAACTCAGGATCAGATGGAGATCCACCCTTATGCTATCACTAGGGATTTCTTGCCAGAAAGGTTCTACTCATGCTTCGAATCTGGCAAATTGCCACATTTGGAGTGAGTGAGGAAGAAATATTCTCTCAGATAATCTTAGCAATGATCCTCTGAGGATTTGTCTTCCCCCTGGGCTGTGGCTTAATTCATTTAGTGTTCTCAGTCTGTTCACTCATTAAGCACCCTTTGTAGAAAAATAATTGTTGTCTTTTGACACACAACATATTCAGAACATGATTCAAATGAGAATTTTTTGTGGAGGGGGAAGTAACTGTTTCTCAAGGAAAGGTGTTTTTCTTCTAAATATATTCATTTTCACATGCATACACACAAACCCTCCAACAATAAAACACTATAGGCAGTAATGTTTCAAAATAATAACAAAGTGCTTATCTTTACCAGTTTTCTGCATGGAGGATGAAGTGACTTTTGTTTAAGAATATAATCCCACCAATCTAAGAAGTATTAAATTGCTCAATTCTGAACCAAAAGTAGATGGGAAAGTAATATTTGTTTACACTTGACAGTGTACAATCTGAATAAAGCCAGAAATTACCATGGTGTCCTTAGGAAAAGCTGTTTAAAACTGATTTTTCTACTGTTACAGATATATATAAATCCTTAAATGAGAGCATTTCTTTCTTTAAAATGGAGTGAGCTTCTGGCTCAGTTGCAACAGTGATTTAGGAATATGCATTCCCAAGTACCAGAGGTTGGTTTTAACAAAAGAAAAAGCAACTGAAGTTGGCAGTGCTATTGGGGGGGGGGTATCTAGTTTGTATTGTTTAACATTTACGGAAATAATTAGAGTTCGGGTTTCTGTTCCAGTAACGGTTACTCATTCCTGTTAGCCCTGCTTGCACCAGTTTCCATAGTGATACTGAGGTTGTCACTAAGTTGTTACCCTTGAGCTTCCCCCAACAAAGCTCCGACAATTTGAATCATTTGCCCAAGAATGTGCCCTTCCGTATTCTGTTCTCATGAACCTTTTCTTAGCACTCATCCCTGATTCAGTTTGAACGGCTGCACAGCATTTCTGTTTTTTAAATGTGAGACCAATTTTTAAAAAATCCACTATGTAACAAGATGGTGTTCATTTGCTATTCAAGGTAACAGTGTTGCATGTATTGTTGTAAGCCATTCAAAACCGAATCTTCAAGGAGTTTAATGCAGTTAGATAAAGCCTGTTGTCATAAACCTAGCACTTCCCAGTTCAAGTGATGTTAACTAGAATGAGCAGCATGATAAGCTCATTGCATAGCAAAGCACATTTTTATTGAACACCTGCTGTCCTGTTGGAGTGTTGGCTCTGTTTGTAACTCCTGTTGGTGTCATTTTGTGTTTTTTAGAAAGTACAACAGTATACATTAATAATTCAAGCTACAGACATGGAAGGAAATCCAACATATGGTCTTTCAAACACAGCAACTGCTGTCATTACAGTGACAGATGTCAATGACAATCCTCCAGAGTTCACTGCCATGATTGTAAGTCTACGGGAAAGAAAGAGGATGAAGTTTGTGAATGGCCTTTACTTTAAAAAAAAAAAAAAGCTTTTGCTGATTAGACCAAATAGATTGAACATGTTTCGGACTTTATTAGATGTTCTAGAAGATTGCACTGCCTTGACTGAAGTCTTAGTTGCCCCTCAAAGGACCCTGAAATTAGCTCTAACCCCAGTATTCTAGCTGATGAAGAAAATCAAATGATTTTTCAGAATAGCTTGAGAAGAACTTCTGAGCTTGAAAGCTCATGTTACTGTACGGTAGTGGCAACCTGCCAGGTTGTTTTCCTGTACCAAAGTACTACTGGCCAGAAAGCATTATTATCTGTTATTTGGGTCACAGTGAATTAAGCTGGCCATTAGGGCTCCTTGGCGTGGCTGAATGGTAATCTCGTGATGATTGCATGTTGCTGCTGCACTTGTTGGCTTGTGTGTAATATTGTGTACCTTTGTATTGCAGTTCTATGGTGAAGTCCCTGAAAATAGAGTGGATGTTATAGTTGCTAATCTAACTGTAACGGATAAGGACCAGCCACACACTCCTGCCTGGAATGCAATGTATCGAATGACTAGTGGAGATCCCTCAGGCAGGTTTGCCATCTTTACTGATCCAAACAGTAATGATGGTTTGGTTACTGTTGTAAAGGTAAGTGGTACAACTCAACAAATTATGCAGAGGCAAACAAATAGTAGACCACTGAGTAAACTCCTGCAGTTATATCTAAATAGCAGAAGAGGAATAGATATATCAAGATACACACACACACACACACACACACACACAAGGACTTCCGGGACAGTCACTTCATTTTCTCTTGTATCTGCATCTCCACAGTATGTCTTCTTTTTGTCTCCCGGGTAGCCATAATATCCTCTCCCTTCTCCGTGCTCCCTTCTTCCATTCCTACACACTAGCCTACCTGTCTTTTTATCTGTCCCCATACTTTAACTCTATTTATTATTTATTTACTTCATTTATGCCCCACCTTTCTTCTCAGTGGGAACCCAAAACAGCTTCCATCACTCTCCTCTCTTCCATTTTATCCTCACAACAGCCCTGTGTGATAGATTCGTTAGAGAGAGAGAGTGACAAGTTGAGTGGTAGCAAGTCACCCAGTGGTTGCTGGCAGACCCTACCCTCATGAGTCCTCCCGCAAAGGCAAAAACAGCTCTGGAAAGGCCCTGCCCCCTCTGCCACCAGGTCTTGAAGGCTGGCAATACAGTCATGGTTGCCTAGCAACAGCCACCAAGGGCATCCATTTTTTAAAGCTACAGAAGCTCCTTCTATCATTTTGGGGGGGGTCTAACACTCCCTCCATGTTTTTATTATTTATTTATTCAGTCAATTTCTACCCCGCCCTCCCCGCCAAAGCAGCCTCTTAAAAATGAGACATTGAAAGCAGAGGTGATGTTTTGTTGCACGAGTGCCCGCTTATTTACAAAGTTCACTGGAGTGTTCCAGAAAATGCATAGTAAAATAAAAACACTCACAAGAACCATAATGGATTGGTTGTTTGTAAAAGTTCAGCCCCATTGTCTCTTGAAGCCTTCAGTGATGAGCACAGCATACCTGTGAGAGAAATAATCAGTGAAAGTAGAATCTGTGACGAACTGAAAAAACTTTCTGAAAAGGAACAGCTAATTGTTTTAATGGGACCAAAAAAAATTTCATAGCAGCTTCCAAACATTTTTTACTCCAGTCATCTTTGGACAACCCATCCTTAGATATCTTCAATGTTTAGCTCCAGCACAGAATGTCAAGGAAGGAACCCACAGGGATATAATGAAGTAGCAGCAGCACTCCTGATGGATATTCCACTGGACAGGATTGTGGATGAATGGAAACTTCTTAAACTTAAAGATGAAACTGCCACATAGATATGTACTGGAATCAGTTCTTTGAAAAGACAAACCGATTTGGAGATCCCAAATACCCACTGGTTACCAAGGTGGTGAAATCAGCATTATCGTTATTGCATGGTAGTGCAGACATAGAAAGAGAGTTTTCAAAATCTGGATGCATTTTGACCAATGAAAGGGCCAGGATATCAGAGAGAACTTTGAATGCCCACCTAGTGGTCAAAGAAACTTTATATCATGTATACGAAAACAAGGTATACCGTGTTAATACCACACAGGAGCTCTTACAGATGGCACAAGCAGCTTTTGTTCATTACAAGCAATATTGTGATGAACACCATGTCATTAAAGAGAAGGAGCAAAAAAGAAAGGGAAAAGGCAGAGGAGTTCAAAATGTTTAAGAAGATAGTGAAAAGAATAGTATACAACAGAAGGAAGCAAAACTGAAAAAGCTGAGACAACAGAATGAGAAGAGGATGATTGTTCGAACGTTGCTAAGTGATGCAACCAAACGTGTAAAGGAGACTGCTGAGAAAAAGGATATTGTGGGATTCAACATGGCACAGCTCATGCTAGAAGGAGTGCGGAAAGCAATGGAAGAAGAGGACAAGAAAAAAAATGCTTGTGGATGCAGTGCAGAAAACTGTTGAGAAACTACAGTTTGTTAATACCTTCTTTTTTATCAGAAAACCAAAGATAAACTAAAAGCAAATACAAGTCTTACTTACAGTAATTATGTTTTGTTGTCTTAATGATTACTTTGTGTGGTTTTTAATAGGTTTTGCTGTTTTATTATCTGTAATATGTGATTATTTTAAAAAATGGAATTTTTTTGCCTTAAATTTTGTACAATAATGAAAACATTTAAAAGGTATGTGATGGCTGACTATGGATATGGTGAAGGCCAGATAGTTTTACTTTTAAAACGCTAGCTTATCAAGAGGCTGACATTAAATTGTTCAGTAATTTGTCAGTTTCTTGTCAGTATTTGGACAGTCTTTTAAAATTTTGGTCAGTAAAATCAGTATTTTTGATCCTCTGACTAGTTTCCACCTCTGAAAATACAGCATCACAACTGCTTTCCAATAGTGTGTATTTGTTGCTGATGCAATTCATGTACATAAGGATGTGACTGAGCATAAGTCCTCAGTGACAGTATTGTTACCAGTCATCCAGAAGAACAGCACAACATGAAATCCATCATTGATCCCAGGGAGGGCCACATTCTAGTTTGGGAAGTCATGGAAAACTAGATGAACATGAATATAATTCTTTCAGTACACTTGAGTTGCTCCTCTGAAAGACAGTCCTGTTCAAGGAGAGTTTTGCCATTGATTTCAGTGGAATGTGATTTATGGCCCAAGAGAAGAATACATGTTTCCAGTCTCTGTAAATGTACTTTTTCAAGAGTACCAATTGTAGAAGGATCTACTAGTAAGAAGCACATTATTATGTTTTGTATTGTATTTATGCGCAAATCATCTACTCCACAGTTATAAATTAGAATGCTCTGAAATAGAAAACAAAACAGAGATACAGAAATTAAACCAAATATCTATAAAGAGAGGCAAATGAAGGCCTACAGATTATAATTTTCCTGAGGTAGCTCAGTTTGTTTCAAATTAAATTCTTTGTTTTAAACATGTCAGAATATAGGGGGAAAGGTAAAACTAGGTAAATAAATTAAATGTGGTGGAAACTCCCCAGAGAAGCACGAAGCCCTTATTAGAAGTAATCCCAGTTAATGACTCCTGAAGGAGTTGTATTGTATTTGGTAAGCAATCCTTCACCCATCTACATGAACAGCCATTTGATTTTAGCAGTATAACCAGATTTTTTCAGCATTTTTATCATCTTCCATTTGGTCATGGAACAGTAAAAGTTTTGATATCCAGCACTTGATTTTCCAGAACTCTCATTTAACAGACATTGCCCATAGGGCAAATTTCTCCTCCTCAGCCACCATACACCTGTATGTTCATTGTACACCCACTCCCATCTCTCCAGCCAGCTTCTGATGGCCAATGCTGTCAGCTGATGTCATCCTCAGGTGACTCCTCCCTTAAGCCTGCCCGCTCTGCTGCTGCATAGGATACCTCCAAGGCTCAGGTGGAGGGTTCTGCCAGCCATAGAGAGTATCACCCCAGCATTCCAGTGGGGTGAAGTCTGGTCACAGTTGGTTTCTCTGGGCAGGGAATGGGCAGAGCAGTAAGGTTGAATATCTGGCACATTTGACTAACCAACAACCCCCATTCCTCATGAGTGTTGGATGACAAAGCTTTACTGTATAACTGAACAAGTTGTCCTTGTGTTCTTAGAAACCTGTTAAAAAAAGACATCTGGGGTTGTTACATTAGTATTCTTAATCTTTACACAATTAAGCAACAATCTGCCTCCAAGAGGTTGACCAGGCAGCAACATCTTATGCTTTCAGGTAGTGATTACATCTATGAATGCAGGGAGGTGCTCGGTGCACCCGTGAACATTTTTGTACACCTGTATGGTCTTTGGGGAACTGTTCTGCAGACACTTCATCTTCCTTCAGACTAGGTCCACGAGTCAAAGTGAAGCATCAGTTGATCAACAATCCATATTTCAGCACAAAAACATGCTGTGGATTCTCTGTTCTTGTGTCTACTTTTTATTTTTGAACTACTCATTCCTAACTCGAACACATGAGTGAACATTGTAAGGTGAACCCTCTCTTTTTTCTTTAAATGGGACAGGCATGAGCATTTATTTTGCTTCACTAAGTTGTCTACTGCATCAGAGATTCAGCATCTAGTCATGGTGTACAGGATAAGCTCCTGTTCACTGTTCAGATGAGGTACGAACACAGACTCACAGCAAGTCAGTGTTCAATTTGCATCTTCCCAGGTAGAACCCAGCTTGTTGCAAGAATCTTGAAAACCAGTAGAGCAGATTGGAGGATTTACTGCTCCATTCCAGTGTGCAAATGAGACTTCCAGAGAATTAATAGTTCCAAACAGCAAATGAGACTTCCAGAGAATTAATAACTCCAAACAGGACACGGTGCAAAAGACAATTCGGGGGTAAGCTTATGCTTACTGCACACAGCATTGTCAGGACACTTAAGCACACTTGGGGGAAAGTGTATATTATTTTCCTCTTATGCTAGAAATACCTTTGGTATGCCAACAGGTTGTATGTTGAAATTGTTGAAACATTTTGGAGTCCATGACTGCTGCAACTACTGACGTATTTCTTATATTGTTTTTGGCAGCCTATCGACTTTGAAACCAATAGGATGTTTGTACTCACAGTAGCTGCAGAAAACCAAGTGCCTTTGGCAAAAGGAATTCAGCATCCTCCCCAATCAACAGCAACTGTATCAATTTCAGTCATTGATGTGAACGAGAGTCCGTATTTTGTCCCAGACCCAAAGATTGAGCGTAAAGAGGAAGGGCTGCCTGCTGGTACCGTCTTAACAACTTTCACTGCTCAGGACCCAGATCGTTACATGCCACAGACTGCTCTAAGGTATGACAGACTTATTCCCCTGCTTGCTTATACATAGGGACATCCTGTAGTATGTAACCCATGTAACGTAACAGAATCTTAAAAACCATTTACCACAGCAGGTAGTTCAATTAATTTCTGTATACCTCTTCACCTGCTTAACTCTTGGGTAGACCTTAGAGGTCTCTGTGGCTTTGTAGGTCCTTATAGCACAGCAATCCTCAAAACTGATTAAAGCCTTCTGCTTTAAATGATGCCTAAATATCTTATTTCTAGATGAATTGGAATTCTAGGTCAAATACATAAATGTTACCAGCTTTCCATAACAAATGCTTAGTTGGTGCTGCTGAAAATTTAAATGATTCGTGTGGGCAGTAAAGGGAATGCTTTCTTCTGGTGGTCGCTGTGTCCTTTCTGTGGTTACACTTCCATTCGTCTGCAAGACCAGGAGTTGGGCAGTACATAGGTGCTGAGATTATTAAATCCAGTCGTGTATGAGATTGTGATTAATTAGTGGCTGATAAAATCAGACATTAATTACAGTAATGTGTATTACTTGATTAGGGTAGGATTGTGAATATGTATTTGCCTTGAAAGAGCTGGGAAAATTTGAACACATTTTGCACAGGTACTGTGAACACGATTAAGAGTGCTGTGAATGTGTTCAAGGTCAGCTAACATATTATATAAATACAAAAAAAATTATAACCAGAAGTGTGGTTGTTAAGAAATAATGAGAAATTTGAGAACCGGAAGTTAGTTCAATTTATTCCAGGTTTATTATTATTGAATAAGAGTTTTATTTATTTATTGCCCCCCGGGGGGATTTTTATTGCATTTTCTATAAACTACAAACTACAACGAAAAAATAGGGAGGGAACACCTACATCTATGGAGAAAGGAAAGAAAACCACTACTAACTAAAACCCAAGTATAGGAGATCATTACATCCGCTTATATGTTAGTCTAAAATGCTTACATTACTTTTTTTTTAAGTACCCGAGGGTACACTTTTATTATTTTTTCCATTATATACTACAGACATACAAACATACATACAAACAACCCCCATCTACCCCCCACAACATATAACATATAACAAGAGACTTTTTCATTTCTTCTGCTTGTTAGATTTCTAAATTCATTATCTATTTTACTCCACTAAGCTTATCTTTTCTGTGTTCTCAAATTACTACAGTTCTCAAAATACTACTGCATTTACATTATACCAATCGTAGAATCTGTACCGGGTCTCATCTCAAGTGTCAGTTTGTCATTTTCCGCCGTTTCAAATATTTTGTTCACGTACTCTTGTTTCGTTGGTATTTCCAATGTTTTCCAATATTTGGCATATACTATTCTTGCAGCTGTCGACATATGAACTATCAAATACCTATCTGCTTTATCAAAGTCTTTCGGAAATATATTCAATAACAGTATCTCTGGAGTAAACGGTATATTAGTTCTTATTATTTTTTCCATTATCTCATGAATCCATCTCCAGTACCTCTTTATAACATCACATAACCACCACATGTGATAAAAAGAACCAATCTTATTTTTACATTTCCAACATTTGTCAGAGCAATTAACATTTTGTTTAGCTAATCTATCTGGTGTAATATACCATCTATAAAACATCTTATACATATTCTCTTTATACGACACAGCATTAGTTAATTTTATATTTTTCCGCCAAATCTGCTCCCACTCTTCAAAATTAATATTACGGCCTATATTCGGGGCCCACATAATCATATTTTTTTCACCATTTCATCAACCATCACATCGTCCAATAAAATCTTATATATTTTCTTCATCACTTTGTTTTCTGCTGTTAAAACAGTTTCTTCCAGCTTGGTTATTTTATTATTAAAACCTAGTTTCTTATCCTTCAAATATATCGATTCCAGTTGCGCTTTCTTCCACCAGGATAATTGTTCTGGTAATTTCAAATTGTCTTTTTTATCCAAAATATCCTGGTATCTTAACGATTCTTCTCCCACATATACATTAGGTAAGGTAAATGCCTCTAAAGGTATAATCAGTCTTGATCTTTTAGTATAAAAATTTTTATGTATAGGCACATACATAAAAACAAATAAAAAATAAAATGCTTACATTACATTGAACATAGTCGATTAAGCTAAATTATTTATCTTTTTAACCTTTTTTAACTGTTTAAAGACAACCCCAAGAGCATCATTTATATCACATGCTTTAAGGCACCATTCAGAGTCCATCAGCCTTCACTTTGCTTTATCTTTTCTAATCCTCAATTGGTATTCTTGTTTAGGAGCAGCCACCCCCTTTTCTGAAGCAGAATCCTCGCCGGAAGACACAGAGTCCAGTTCACCACTAGATTTCTTCTTTAGCGTCCTCAGATGGTTCTCCCAGTTGCAATCTCAGGAACTCACGCGCTTTGGAAACAGAGTCAAATTTTTCTTTTTTGTCCTGCAGTTTGAAAATTACGCCTTCAGGTGTTAACCATCTGTAGGAAATGCTGATTGTTTGTAAAAAAAAAAAAAAAGGATTGTCTTTATACTTCTTCCTCTTCTTCCTTATTTCAAATGGGATGTCTTTTAAAACCCTGATGGTGTTGCCTCCAATTTTCAAAGGTGTTCCTGTAGTTGCTTTCAGGATAGAATCCCTCATGTGTCTCTTCACTATCTCACCAGGCAGATTATTTTTCTTGATGTAGACAGAATAGGCCCTATAGACCACATCCATTTCGCTTATAAGGTATTCCGCTTTTAAATATGTAACTGGAGCTAATGTATCACTTAGAAGTTGTTTTAGATTCTCGTCTTTTACTTCAGGGACCCCTTGGAACCGGAGGACCAGGTTAGCTTTCTCCATTTGTAGTTGTAAAAGTTGAGATTCATCCGAAGCTTGCTTCCTTTATAGCATTTGCACCTTTTTCTTGACTTTTTTAGAGTTGGCATCTATTTCCTTTACTTTCTCAGCTGTTTGCTCCATCTTTTTTTGTAGTTTCAGACAGTTGGAGCTGCTGAGTTGCAAAGTTCTGATTTAGAGTTGTCAGCTGCTGATTGATGTTAGTCATCTGGTCAAGTAGAGGGTGCAAAGAGTCCACCAAAAGTTTAGAGAACTCATAAGAACATAAGGGACGCCAATGTTGGATCAGGCCAAAGGCCCATCCAGTCCAACACTGTGTCACACAGTGGCCAGAAATACCAGTGCCATCAGGAGGTCCACCAGTGGGGCCAGGACATCAGTGGTCTCTTCTGGTCATGGGCTCATGCTCCCTGGTGGTTTCACTTTTGGCTGTTTGTCTCGCTCCGCTTTTTTCCACGCCATTTTTATGGATTGTTTACTTTTGACAAAACTTGCTAAAGTCTCTGAAATTCGCCCAAAACCTATCCGCGCTCTGGTAAGGTTCTTAAAACAGATTTCAACGCTTTTAATTCCGTCCCCCCCTTGCTAAATTGCTTTTTAGTTCATGCATATGGGAGGGGCCCCTCGCCCGCTCACTTCACTCACTTTTCTCGCTGTTCTCAGCGGGGGAACTTTCTTTTTAAGTTGCTGGTGTTTCGCTTTCACTCGACTCACTGTTCGTTGTTGGTCATACGACCTTGCTCAAAATGCGTTTTAAACACTCGATCTCCGACGCTTCTCCCGGTCAGCGGCTCTAGTTCCATTCAGACACATAACGGCAGGACCGTCGGGGCGGAAGAGCACCTCAATTCCCAGCATCGCACTGGTGAAGAGGCCACCCTTCAAATGCCCCATGGCTAGGAGCCTTTCACAAAGGCTCCGGGGGGGGGGGGGGTGAAAAAACGTCCCCCCCACCCACCCGCCCGAATCTTCAAACCCCACAGCGCGGGGGGGGGGGGTAATGAACAATCGTCCCCCCTCCTAACAGCTAGAGCGCAGATCGCGCCCCCGGGAAGTCCGGGAGGTGCGTCTGCCAGCGTGTCGCCATAAACCGGAAGTCTCGAATAAGAGTATAATTTGATGAACACACTTGCTCTGCCTTCATGAACTAGCTATTCCCTGATCTACTCCCAACCCTTTCATTCAGTCCACTTTTTTTTTACATCTCTGTACGTCCCTCTCTACAGATTCTAAATTAGCTTCAGCTTCCCAGGACTGCTCTTCTTCCTTGCTTTCAGTTAGGATCAGTCTGGGTTGAATGTATCTCTGCGTATAAGAGTGTGCAAAGTTAGCTATACTCTGATGCTATTTGAGGACTGGAGCCCCATATTCATCCTTAGCTGAACCCCAGTTGGATAACATTTCTATGAAACATTTTAAATACAATGAAGTTCATTCAGGTGGTGAACAGATGATATATGTCTGTATTCATGGGACTAACGTTTCAGCCAGTGATGTAACATTTATATATAATCTGTATAGCTGTTTCTCAAGTGTGTCCCCTATCTGCAAATATCTAAATCTGTGGATCAGGGCTACAGTTACCCAAAACAGATTTTTCTACGAACTTGGGAGAACCTCCTAGAGTTGCAGAAAAATCTTAAATCTTTAAAAAACATGGGGGAGGTTTAATTCCCCCAAAAGTAAAAAAGTGTTATCTGCACATGAGCAGGCAACGTAGTTACCTTTGAGGACCCTGGCTGCTACTACTGCAGCTTTGACTGCAGAGTCCAGGAGCTGCCATCAGGCCCAGATTGCCTGGAGCCACACCACATGAGCCACCAAAGGCAGCCATGCAGAGGGAAGCCCTGCCTAGGGCAGCCATGAAGAGGCAAGCCACTGAGAGCAGCTATTGGGGAGCGGGAAGCCTCAGTGGGCCCACCCAGAGCAGCTCCAGATGAGCTGCCGAGCTTGGCTATGAGGGAAGGCCCAGGCAGGTCTGCCAAGGCTGAGCAAGTGATCTGGTGAGCCGTGGAAGCAGTGAAGAGACCAGGTGAGGAGCCAGCAGAAAAAAAAAGATGAAGCGGGGGGGGCAGCAGCTACTGCAGCATGGAAGGGTCTGAGTAGCCAGGCAAGCCACCCAGGGGGTAAAGCTGGGGGGGGGGGGAATAAGCAACTGTTAATGCTGCCAAGGAGGCGGGGCTGGGGGGAAGGCAAAGAGCAGATCCAGGCAAGCCACTGAGATCAGCTATTGGGAAACTTCAGTGGGTTTACCCAGAGCAGCTCCAGGCAAGCTGCCAAGAGTGGCTACGGAAGGAGGCCTGGGCAGGCGCGCCGAGGCAGAGTGAGTGATCAAGTGAGCTGCGGAGGCAGTGAAGTGAGCAGGTGAGGAGCCAGCAGAGCCAGCAAGGAGGTGAGGGGGGGGGGAGAGACAGCCACTACAGCAGGGAAGAGTCCTAGCCACAAGGCAAGACACCCAGGTGGTAAAACGGTGTTTGTGTGAGTAAGACACTGCTAATGCTGCTAAGGAGGCTGGGCTGGGGGGGGGGAGGCAAAGGGCAGGCTAGCAGCAGCCACTGAAGCAGAAAGGCTGCGTAAGCAGCCAGCAGAGTCACTGAGTCACTGCAGCTAGGGCCAAGTGGCCCTGCCCAGGTGGTGAAGCTGTGTGTGTGTGGGGGGGAGTGAGCAAGCTGCTGCTAATGCTGCTCGAGCAGGGGGGCAGGTGAGCCACAGCCACTGCAGCAGGGAATAGGCCCAGCAGCTGGGCAGAAAGAGAAGAGAATGATGAGGGGGAGAGAGAAAAGAGTGATGGGATGGGGAAGGGAGAAAAAGAGAAGGAGTGATAGCAGACATGGGGGAGAGCAACAGAAAGTAAGGGGGAAAGAGAGACACTTAGAGAAGTGCAGGGAGAGAGGAGGAATCAAAAACAGGGAGAATAGGATGGCTGCTCCTGCAAGATTTTTGTTGGCCCCCACTTGTAGTTACTTAATGCTTACGTGGCAGGTCTTTTGAGCATTCTCACAGCACGGTTGCCCAGGCATACAGAAAAGGCAAAACCCTTTGTAAAAGCTTGTAACTATATACATCATAGGACAAGAACGTACATTTTGGTTTTGCTTTCTTTTGTTCTGTTTTACAAAACACATTGGAAATAAATGCAATGTCTCATGTTCAATTGTAGGTACTCAAAGCTTTCAGATCCCGCTAACTGGCTGAGGATTGATCCTAATACTGGTCAAATAACCACAACTGGTATTCTGGACAGAGAGTCTCCACATGTTAAAAATAACATGTACAATGCTACATTCCTTGCTTCAGACACTGGTATGTACCTAGTGAAAGAAACGAATTTTTGAAGGCCATGCATTTCATAAAAGGATCACATAAAAGGATGTGTAGCCCTGACCTAGAGAGCCCAGGCAAGCCTGATCTCGTTAGATCTCGGAAGCTAAGCAGGGTCGACTCCGGCAAATAATTGGAAGGGGGATCTCCAAGGAATACCAGGGCTCAGGACGCAGAGGCAGGCAATCAAGCCCCCTCTCTGAAATGTCCAAACCCCGCTAGGGGTTGCCAGAAGTCCCCATGACTTCCAAGCATGCACGTACATATATGTGCGCGCACACACAAAATACCCTCCAAAAGAAAAAGGATAAATGTAAATGTGGTGTTAACATGACAGTAAAGCGTAGCATCAAAGATTCTGTATGTACTAAACTACTGTAGTGATCCTACAAAATTATTGCAGATATTACCTGCTGTTTCTGTAGTTGTGCTAAGCAACAACCTAGTTCACCCCTGAGCCTCTTCACAAGCATTCTTGCAATGCTGTCCTTACACCAACCCACAGTGCTGCCTGCCTATCCAGCAGCACTCTGCCTGCCACCTTTGCTGACGGTTGGTATGCCACTCATTTGCTTTTATTGGGTTTACACTGCTACACAGAGGGCCTTTGCCTCCTATGTTTGAGATACAGAAATCTCAAACTCCCAGTGTGTCTTTCCAGTGTCTTCTAAGATGTCACATCCTGTAAAAACGTGTCCTAGTTAATTTGGCCTCAAGGGAGTCTGGAGGTGCTGGAAGCACCAAATAGCCACAAGCCATTCTCTTGAAGGAAGGTCAAGGAATGCAATAGAAGTCTTCCGCAAGTGCTGTTACCTAGGACAAAAAAGAGTAGGAAGGCTTTCAGAGCAACTGCATCACATTGAGTAGCCAAAACTGTGGGGGTGGGATCAAGATTCATTTAGTACATTTTTATCCTCACGCCCCAGCAGCTTGGGAGCATACATGTTTCTCTCCTCCTCCATATATTGGAAACCTCATGGCTTAAAGCATCTGGGCAAAAAGTGTTCTTGAAAGAATACTTTTAATATGCATAATTCTAAGTATAAATATTTTTTACTTTTCTGCCCACAGCAGGTCTGCTAAGAATCTGTTAAGGTTCCTGAACCCTTGGTAGTAAAATTTTGGGTACAATGGGATCTGTTGGAGAAAAGTAGGGAATATCTGCTTGACCTTCTAGTCAAATTTGTGTTTTGAGCCCTCACTCTGATGGGCCAACTGAAACAAACATGTAGCATAACTGCTTGCTTTCTTGCTTATGGATATGCTTGGATAAAATGAAATTCTTCTTTTATAACAACGTATCTTCATAGAAGACAAACTGTGCCTGTAGTCCTAAATACATTTACTAGGGAGTAACTTCAGTTGAGCTCCATGGAACTTACTGCTGAGTTGACACATTGAGGATTGCAGTTGGAGAAAGGGTTACCTTATAATCGAGATACTAGAGGTATTGGAAACCATTGTGACACGTAATGTCAAATCAAATCTCCACTGTATCATGGAAGCTGGCTGGGTGACTTTGGGCCAGTCACATACTCTAGCCTACCTCACAGGGTTATTGTGAGGATAAAATGGAGGAAAGGACAACTGTGTAAGCTGCTTTGATTCCTCAGTGAGGAGCAAAATGGGGTATAAATGAAGAAGAAGAAGAAGAAGAAGAAGAGATTGGATTTATATCCCGCCCTTCATTACCTGAAGGCGTCTCAGAGCAGCTTACAATCCCTTTCCCTTCCCCTCCCCACAACAGACACCCTGTGAGCAATGTTCCCTCTAAGCTGAGTTAGCATGAGCTAGCTCACAGTTTTTTAGCCTCCGGCTCACACATTTTTGTCTTTGCTCAGAAAAGATGGCTCCAAAGCAAACTGATCTATGCAGCAGCCAAATCGATTGCTCACAACATTAATGTCAGTCGCTCACGAAGTAGAATTTTTGCTCACAAGACCCCACAGCTTAGAGGGAGCATTGCCTCTGAGGTAGGTGGGGCTGAGAGAGCTATCTCGAGAACTGCCCTTGAGGGAACAGCTTTGAAAGAACTTATGACTGACCCAAGGTCACACCAGTAGCTGCACGTGGAGGAGTGGGGAATCAAACCCGGTTCTCCCAGATTAGAGTCCGTGCTCTTAACCACTACACGAATGAAGTAAGTAAACACTGTTAAGTTAATGTTACATAGGCCCCATTCACACTGAGGATTTGCCACGCTAAAGGTACGAATGGTAGGTGGATTTTCGGTGCACGATCACACCGCAACTTCTGGGGAGCATAGCGCACCCGTAGCCAACCCGTGGCATCCCGCCGAAGACACGCAGTAAAAAAAATACCTCAGAAAGTGCAGTAGTATCCGGAAAACGCGCGGCAGGGGCGGCCGTCTGATCGCAGGAGTGCTAGTATCCCGTGGCTTCTGGTGCCCGTCCAAGTCCCGTTGCAAACCAAATGGTTTCCCTAAGCGCATGCGCACGAACACTAAACTGGAAGCAGTGCTGCTCCGTGGAACTGCGCATGCGCACAAACATGGAACGCTTGCCGCGCGGCTTCTTTGCCAGCTCCAGCATCGCTGTGTGATCGTGAGCTTCCTCCCACAGCGCAAATACTCGGGAGGCCGTGTGATTGAGCTAACGTGCTTTATTTTGCCCCGGGGCAAACAGCCATGCCTCACCCCCACGTCATCTGGCCCGTGTTTGTGTTTGTTTGTTCATGAATTAAATGTGTTTGTTCATGAATTAAAAAGAAGAGAGCACTTTGAATAGGAAACAGGCTTATGCTACTCTTCTTTATTCTTTCAGGAATCCCTCCGATGAGTGGGTCTGGCACACTTCAGATAATCCTGCTTGACATCAATGATAATGCTCCCCGAGTGGACCCTCAAGAAGCTACCACTTGTGAGACTCTGCAGCCCAATGCAACAAACATCACAGCGCTAGATGACGACATTGATCCAAATGCTGGACCTTTTGCCTTTGAACTGCCGATTAATCCTCCCAGTGTTAGGAAAAACTGGACCGTTATCCGTATTAGTGGTAATGTACCACTCTTTTCTAGAAGAACAAATTCTTGGGGTGGGATGACTTTGTTCAAGAACTAATTCCCTATAACATTTTGAGCTAATACTGCCTTAAATAAAATACAGCCATTTGAATGATATGTTTGCAGCATGAGATTTTCAATATTCTGACAAGTGAGAGGGGCGGGATTCAGTGTCATTCATATCTTTCTGTAATCATGGCTGATTTCGCACTAGAGCTGCCTCAATGTTGCGTCGCCATTTGCCCCGATACTATTGGTCAATTTCACACCCGAAGCCGCGGGGCTGCATTTTGACTCGCGGCTTCGCCCGATTTCCCCCGCAGTTTCGTGATCCTGTTTTTTGAGGATCACGAAACTGCGGAGGAAATCAGGCGAAGCCGCGGGTCAAATGCAGCCCCGCGGCTTCGGGTGTGAAATTGACCAATAGTATCGGGGCAAACGGCGGCGCAACATCGAGGCAGCTCTAGTGCGAAATCAGCCTATGACTCAGTGTGAAGCTGTGGAACTTCTCACATGTTGTAATGAAAGTGTAATCACAAGTAACTCAAGATGCAGTTCTCAATGAGCAACCAGAACAGACACTTTTCTAATTGCTTTATGCTCGCATGAGTAAAGCATACTCATTTTCTAACCCCCCCCCCCCTTTTCAGGTGATCGTGCCCAACTGGCTTTAAGGATCAAATTCCTTGAGGCTGGCATCTATGATGTTCCAATAATAATAACTGACTCTGGAAATCCTCCCAAGTCCAGCACTTCTATTCTGAAGGTGAAGGTTTGCCAGTGTGACATAAATGGAGACTGTACGGATGCAGACAGAATTGTAGGTGCAGGACTGGGCACGGGTGCCATCATTGCCATTCTCCTCTGCATTATCACCTTACTCAGTGAGTCTTCTGTCCTTTTTAATAATATTTGTTGTACCTCCTACAATATGTACAAAAGGTGTTGAATAGTTACATTGCCACAGGGTAAGATCTACTTTTGTGCGAGGAGAGGCTACCAGCAACAGATTGTTTGCTGTCTGCTACCAGCAGCAGAGTATCCAGAGATATGCCAAGGCATCTAACCATGTTATATTTATGGTTTGATCTTTGGCTTCCTTGTTCGATTTCATGTACTACTGGTTCTTTGTTAGGCATGTTAGCACAAACATTATATATGATTTCTGTAGAGCTGCAATGAGAGAGAGAATTATTTATATTTTAAAAATACATCACTTTTCTATCACACGGATGCATAAAAGAGTGAATGTGTGTGAAGTGCTGTCAACATAGGGGCAACCCTATGAATTTATGGCCTCCAAAATATCCTATTGTTAACAGCCTTGGTCAGGTGTTGCAAAGTGAGGGGCATGGCTTCCTTGATTGAGTCAATCCATCACATGTTGTGTCTTCTTCTTTTCCTGATGTCTTCAACTTTTCCGAGTATTATTGTCTTTTCCAGTGAGTCTTGTCTAAGACTTCTGAAGCTTCTATATAGCAGACATGTATGTGATAATTTGCACCCTGCAGATATGTGTGTGTCTTGCAATTTTATTCTCCTTTCCCTAGTTCAGTGTTTAAATGTGAATAGGGGAAAGTAATGACAATCCAGCTCCTGGCATTTAATGTGTTGTTTTCATCCATCTTTTAAAAACCAACAGTCATGTGAAGACAATCTAATAACTTTTGCTTTTATTCTTCTCCGTGTCTCCTATAGTTCTAGTTCTGATGTTTGTAGTATGGATGAAACGCCGTGATAAGGAACGTCAGGCCAAACAGTTGCTCATTGACCCTGAAGATGATGTCAGAGACAATATTTTGAAATATGACGAAGAAGGTGGTGGAGAAGAAGATCAGGTGAGAAACGCATCTAGTGTTCCTACTGACCAATAACACACTCTGAGCAAGCAGCTGACAGGAGATGGGGTTTTTTCCCCAGAGGGGTGTTTTCTTCAAGGACAGAAATATGACACTATTTACATACCAACATCTAAAACCTTTGTAAAGGTTTTGTCAGGACTGCTTCACATGTTATATATTTTTTCTTCCATGGGTTGAAAACAAATTACAGAACAGGTTCACTGGCATGTATAAAAATTGTGTATCTTATTTTACATAGGAGGCTGCAACTTGGCATCGAAACAGATGGATGTTTTATTTTCTTTGCAAAGAAAAGGAAAGGGCTGTTGATTGTTATGGCTGACTTTCCCCAGCCTCCTTGCAAATACCACTTGATCCTTTTGGATGCAGGCATAATCATTAAATAACAATTAAAGTTGCTGTGGGACACTTGGGAGTACAAAATGGAGATAATAGGTTCACTCCACCTCCTATCCTTCACTTGCATAATCACAAGTAAAGGTGCTTGTTTTCGGCAGTGGTACGGAGCCATGAAAGCCACATGGGAAAATGGTCACCAGGAGGAATAATAATAATGCATTTGCCTCCATTGAGTCTTCTGCCAGCACTTAGTATAATGCACATGTTAGGAATCTGCAAATGAATCACAGCAGTTTAAGGAAGAAAGCTTTTCCTTGTCTGCCTTTCACTGAGCATCTCTAGCCATCTATGAATAACAGAAGCCTGCAGTCTTCTAATTGTATGTTGTCTGGCCATGATTTTATCGAAGTCATGAGAACAAGTGTCTTAAAAACAAGGCCTCGTCTATTTGCAGGAAGTTCTTACCATAGAGTTTGTGGCAATTCCTAGAGCTATCCTTTGTCACTTTCAAGTAGCTCTAGAAATTGCCAGGAACTCTATGGTAAGAACTTCCCTTAAGTAGATGAGGCCTTACTTTTCTTCTTTAATTTTTTTCCTGGGACACTGCCCCTGCATAACTCTCCCACCTGGTACCTGACAGTGCCTGATAATTCTGGTTTGATTAGATCCTAAGTTCCATGAATGGAATACACAGAAACCATCTTTACCATCTGCCTGTCTACTGCGTACCACCCATACCGCAAAAAACTACTCCTGAAAGTTGGGGAGACATTTGGGAATAACATGGGATGCAGTGTGGAAGGGGCTGCAACTCAAGGGAGAGATCCACAAAAATTGAAGCCTTCTGCTTGGCAATGGCTACTTTGCATCAAACCTTTGTAATCAGATAATCCACTATAGAATGTGTGGTTTTAGGCTTGCGATTTCTTTTATCTGAACTAAAGAAAAAAATCACATAGATAAATTTTCATCAAAACGCTTTACAAGACACTAATATTGACAGTTCAAAAATGTGCTAATATATTATAATATTGCTTTGATTGCACCACCTATTTTAATGTGTCATTGCACGTCAAATATTCTAACACAGGAAAGCATTGTTCCACAAATTTGGAGTTATAATGAATAGTCTCTGACAATTTTTAACTACTCATTTAAAATAACCTACTGGCCGCTTGGCAAAGGGTTTCTTATTTCAGTGCAAGCTGGGGTCATGCTATACCCCAAACTCTAACTAGGATAGGTCAGTCCCTCCTGCCATCCATGATGTAAATAGTGCCAGGGATCACTTAAAGCAGGGGAGACCAGTGATCTTCTTCATGGTCTCTGTGCATCACACCTCTGGGATATAGTGCGCCTGCGCCGACCTTGATCGGTACTTCTTAGAAAGTGAAAGGGATTTTCGCGCCCGCTCCCCATTCACGCACCGGCCTCACTGCACATGACTAGGGGAGGGGCACAACAATCCCACCAGTTCTCTTCTGACCGCTGCGCTGGTAGGATCTTCTCCGCTTCGGTCGGTACATTTCTGGCTTTACGGCCTATTCTTCTTCTCTTCTGAGTTTTTTCTTTTTTTCTTTTTCTGTAAAGTGAAAGGACAATATTGTTATCGGCTTTTGGTTTTTTTGGACTTTTGTGTCTGGGTCTCCCTGCTAGGCAGACCTCTTCTCACACACACACACCCCGGCCTATGGCCAAGAGGTGGGGTTTCTTTAAACGGTGCCTCAAGTGCGGTAGTAAAATCGCGCCCCCCCCCCCCGACGGACACTCGCTTTGCCTTCTGTACCTTGGGGATTCGCACCGAGTGAACTCTTGTGCCCATCATGCGAAGCTCTCGAAGCAAACGAGAAAGAACAGAGCTGCTAGACTTCATGTCACACTTTTGGAGTTAGCACTTTCACCGATATCGTCATCACAGGACACTTTGGGATATGCATTGATGTTGACACTCGCCTCGGCATCGACGGCCGCATTGTCCCCGATACCGACTCACTCAGATGTCAACCGCCCGATGCTGAAGTGCTCAACCCAGACATCTCAGTCTGAAGCCCATACTTCCTCCAAAAAACTCAGGGAGGGCAAGGATGGCCAGCCAGTCAAGCACAAGAAGCATAAGAAAAACCCCTCAGCACAAACACCGCTGACCCCTCGGAGGGCCACGGAACCTAATCCTGGTGGGGCTGCTTTGCTTGACTCCATGGACCGTGAGCAGCAACAAGGTGCGCCCCAATTTGACGATCGAGTCCAGCCATCGGGACCAATCCACCCGCTGCCACCCCCATGGGATCAACGGCAATGACAATACATGTATGGGGCCTATCCCTTCACAACCGGCATGCCATGGTTCCCGCCCCAACCGGTGGAATGGGATTGTGAATCCACTTCCTCCCGACTTTCTCGGTATTGAGATTCTCTCCCGACACCGAAGTTTGTGAAACCCCAGCCGTCAAGACCGACAGGCAGAACAACCAAACCACCACCCCCAATAGCCACCAAGTTTAAAGATCCATCGGAACTGATCCCGTTGACACCAATGCTGCCTATTTCTTTTTCCGAACCATCTGAACATTCCGCTTCTTCCAATACCTCCTCCCATTTAGGGGACGAGAACCCCGACCCTCCGATGGAACCCTCGCCACCTCAGCAAGTGGGCAATGATCTCCCAATTTCTCTGTCAGAGGATCTCAAATCCTATGGGGACTTCATCAAGCAGATGGCCAACACGCTGACCCTATCTACTGTGCTACCCCCACCTACAGTAACAGACTCCATGTTCGATATCGTGCAGATGGACACCTCGACACCGATAGCCTTACCGATGACTTCGGTCTTGTTACAGGCGGCCAGGGTTCCGTGGTCTCATCCGGCTTCCACCCCTGTCTCTGGCTGGAGAGTAGATCACATGTATAAGGTGCAAAAGCCAGGCGCTGAATTTTTATTCACTCACCCCAAGCCTAACTCAGTGGTAGTCACTTCCTCTTCCAAAGGCAAACACAGTCATTCCACACACCCCGAGAAAGAAGGAAAGAAACTAGACTCATTTTGGGGGGGGGGGGAATTATTCTGCTGGAGCACTTGGCATAAAAACTTCAAACTATACTGCATGTATGGGGAGATATCAGTTTGCCCTCTGGGAACAAATGTCTGAATTTATTGCAGCCCTTCCCGAGGACTTTAACCGTCAAGCTTGCAGAATTCAAAAGGAGGGCATGCTCCTGGCTAAGCACCAGTTCAGTGCAGCTAAGCACATGCTGGATGTGGTGACCAAAACACTGACTTCGGCAGTTACCCTCAGGTGTCATGCCTGGTTGCGTTCCACAGCCTTGTCACAGAATACTAAAACTCTCATTGAAGATCTCCCATTCGAGGGTGAGGGCCTTTTCAGTTCCACGACTGATACTGTCTTGCAAGATCTAAACAAAAGCATTAAGACATCTCGTAATTTAGGGGTCACGTCAGCTACTAAACAAAACCAAACCCTGGAACAAGTCATGGTCCCACAGATCCTCTCTTAAGTCCTCTCTGGAGACGCAATGGCAACGGTCACCCACTGTGTCTTCTCGCCCTTATGGGCACAAACCTAAGTTTTCATCCACCACTAGGGCTAAGACCCCTAAAGCTCCCAAGCAGAGCCTTTGACTCACGTCATCTGCCTTTCCCCCCCACCCGCCTATCTCCTTACCTGGCTGCCTGGCAGCGAATAACATTGGATCGGTGGGTGCTCTCTGTTATTGAGAAGGGGTACCTCATAGAATTTATCCAGATGCCCGAGATCCCCAATTTCGTGCTTACTCCACCATCCAGCACGCTCCTGGAATAAATTTAAAATCTCCTTCAAAAGGATGCTATAGAACCAGTTCCGATGATGCAACGTCACCACAGGTTTTATTCCCGTTATTTTATAGTTCCCAAGAAGGATGGAGGCCTCCGTCCTATTATGGACCTCAGGAAACTCAGCCATTTTATTTCTTATTGGAAATTCTGCATGACAACCTTGCAAAGTATTCTCACGCTTCTTGGCAAAGCCTTCTGGATGGTAACCCTGGACTTGCAAGATGCATATTTCCATATCACTACCCACCCATCTCACAGAGGGTTTTTGTGTTTTGCGGTCGGGGACGGCCATTTTCAATACAAAGCCCTCCCCTTTGGGCTCTCAACAGTGCCCAGAGTCTTCACAAAAATGGTGATTGTCATCGCGGTCTACTTCCGTCTCCAAGGTGTGCAGATCTTCCTGTACATCAACAACTGGTTGCTGGTAGCAAGCTCCAGAGAGACTGCTCAACCATATCGATTTGATGTTGGTTACCCTAGGTGCTCTGGACCTGAGGGTGAATCTAAAAATGTCAATGCTCTTTCCCTCGTTAAGAGTCCAATTCATCAGGGCGATTTTGGACTCAAAAGGTCTGCCGAGCCTTTCTTCCTCTCAAGAGGGCAGACGACATTATCGCTCTCATCAGCCTAGTGAAAAAACAGAGAGATGAGTCGGCAAAACAGATCCAACAACTCCTAGGGCTGATGGCTGCCACCACAGCGGTACTTGTCTTCGCCAGACTACGAATGAGACCACTTCGGCTGTGGTTCCTCAAGAGCTTCCATCCACAATGGCAGCCCCAATCTCAATGATTTGTACTCCC